ATTAGATAAATCTTATTAATTAAGTAATGAGTATTCTCATGATGAATGAACATAGGATGTCACAGGGCTTGGGCTCTAGAACTGACCTCTGCCTTATTACATGAGCTTGAGAAAGTAATTAAGTCTCCCCTCTCTCCCTCTGTCCCTTCCTTCTTTCCACCAGGATGAAAACAAAAATCTGTTTTAGTGTCTCATTGAGGCATGGTGAAAACAGTACGTAGGTCTGCACAGACCTACAAGAGAATGGACTTGAGGACACGGGGAGGGGGAAGGGTAAGCTGGGACAAAGTGAGAGAGTGGCATGGACATATACACACTACCAAATGTAAAATAGATGGCTAGTGGGAAGCAGCCGCATAACACAGGGAGATCAGCTCGGTGCTTTGTGACCACCTAGATGGGTGGGATAGGGAGGGTGGGAGGGAGACGCAAGAGGGAGGGGATATGGGGATGTATGTATACAGTATAGCTGATTCACTTTGTTATACAGCAGAAACTAACACACCATTGTAAAGCAATTATACTCCAATAAAGATGTTAAAAAACAAAAACAAAAACAAAAAAACAGTATGTACTACATATTGTTGCTAAACACAATTGGGGAAGAACGATCAGAAAAATTATGAACCAAGACTTTAAAAGAATAGTGTAAGTTACTTATTTAGTGGTTTTGATTGGCCTTTAGTTGAGAAATACCTGAAGTGTTGAACCAGCTTTCCTGAAAAGAAACATGAATATATGAAATTTATTTGTCACTTAGTGATCACAAAAACCTGTTGTGATTAGTCAGTTTCATTATTGAGAATGTGATTTGAGCTCCCTTGAAAAAGATTCCATATAAATTAATGCGCTTATGAAGTCTATTTTTAATTTTTCTATTATTTTTTAAAATGGGTGTTAAGTAGTGTAATGAGGTGTAGTCTTCACTTTCGTATGGATGAATTTTGTGAGTGGCTGAATGAGTCATTAGCAAACTAAGATTCTACTTCACAGGAGTATTTTGAGAATAAGCTTAAGAATGTGTAAGTTCGTAAGAAAGGAGCTAGGGCTCCTTGGAGAAATGGCTGATTCCTGGACTGGGGCAGGGGAAGTACAGAATAAGCCAGTAACTTCTTATGACGCCAGAACGTGAGGAAGTCGTCACAAAAATTTGGGGCATGTTGAAATGACACAGGGGTAACTAAAAGGAGCTCCCAAGAGCTAAGTCTGGGACAATTTGAGCAACAAAATAAATAACGGTAGTAAAGGATTACAATCCCTAGAATAAAATAAATATGAGTCTGTGCTTCTATCAGTAAATAATTGAATACATAAATAAATGAGGGAGAAGGAGCAGCTCCTGCTTAGATAGAATTCTAGTTAATAAATATAGAAGGAATGATGTAAATAGAAGATCACTATTTGGCAAATACCACAGTAGTGATTGTTGCAGACCACATACACCTGTGCATGCTAAAATTAGTAGATGGCGGTATGATGAGAAACAGTATATTTGCATACTCTCAAAATATCTCTTCACAAGATACTTAATATTATATAGAGAAAAATACTAACTTTACAGTGGGGAAACCTAGACAAACACCACATTTTTATTTATTTATTTATTTTAAATTTATTTATTTATTTTTGGCTGCGTTGGGTCTTTGTTGCTGCGTGCAGGCTTTCTCTAGATGCAACGAGCGGGGGCTACTCTTCGTTGTGGTGTGCCAGCTTCTCATTGCGGTGGCTTCTCTTGTTGCCACCTAGCGTGGGCTCTAGGCGCACAGGCTTCAATAGTTGTGGCACGTGGGCTCAGTAGTTGTGGCTTGCGGGCTGTAGAGCGCAGGCTCAGTGGTTGTGGTGCATGGGCTTAGTTGCTCCGCGGCCTGTGGGATCTTCCCGGACCAGGGCTCGAACCCGTGTCCCCTGCATTGGCAGGTGGATTCTTAACCACTGCACCCCCAGGGAAGTCCCCCCTCTGGACTCTTTACAAAACTAAATCTTTGATATAAGTTTGTTTTATAATTTGTTTATGAGCAAATCAAACAATATAGTATTATATAATCATTGATATTTAAAAGATGTTTACTCAACTGTGTTTCTCATCTGGCCATCTTTATTACTTTTCTTTTTCCTGCCTTCCTCTTTGCATCTGTATCTCAGTATCACCAGATTAACAGGCTGTCACTCTAGCTCTGAATAGCATGTTCAATAGGTGTAACTGGTAGAAGAAAATGTAATCTGGAATGCAGCCTACCTTTCTCTCCAAGCTGCATTTCTCTTACTTTTACCACACTTCAAGAAATAAAAATGGTGCTTTGGAGGAGAGAGGAAAGTAAGAGGTAGAACAACTGAGAAGAAGAGACAAAGCAAAATTTGAAGAATCACAAAGGCGGCTGGGGGGGTGGGTGCAGCAAGGGGGGTTAGCTGAGAGGGGGAGAGGCCGGTCAGAGAAGGCCCAAAGTCAGGCTGCAGGACCCTCTCCACCTTTGGACTAGAAAAAGCCCTGATCCCTCTGGGTCTCAGGAACCTCTTATGCGGTGACCAGTGGGTAACTAAACCATAGGTTACTTGGGCCAGAATGAGCTTAATCAGCATCTGTGACAAGCATTTCATGAGTGCCTGCCATCCATAGCCTCCTGAACTCAGTAACCACCAGTCTACCACCCAAGAAGAGAAAAGACCAAACCTCCGTTCCAGATGTTTTGTTCACCACTCTGTGGACAGAAGGGAGTAGTCCCCTAAATTCTCCCAGTCCCTTTTCTGTCCCCTGCCCAGACTCATCTTTCTCTAATCCTGGGGCTGACAGATCAGAGTGGAGGCTTGAAAGTCTGCCTTTTTTGCCCCTCTGCTTGGATGCAGAGTTCCTACCAAGCTGTTAGAACTTGCCTGACTTGAGCTTTGCCTGACAAGGAGTAATCCCTTCCTTTACAGATAACAGAGTTGAAGATACCTGGTATTGGGTTGGCCAGAATGTCAGATCGGTTAGTGAATGTGTTGTTCAATAAAGTTCTTCGTGAAAATGAAAAATGTCTTTTATTTTTACTTAAAACTGAACGAACTTTTTGGCCAGCCCAATATATTTTAAACAATTTCCCAGGCAGGCATGACAGTTCTTGCTTGTGTTTTTGTTAGACCATAAGGTTTGTGTGAAATATGTCCAGGCTTGGAAGCAGACCTGAGACCCCAAAGGCTTAACAATTTTACTCCAGAATGATTTTTTTTTTTTTAGCCGTGCCGCATGGCATGTGGGATCTTAGTTCCCAGACCAGGGATTGAACCCGGGCCCTTGGCAATGAGAGTGCGGAATTTAACGCTGGACTGCCAGGAGAATTCCCTTACTCCAGAATGAGGCTGAGTGTATTTTTAGGGTAATTTAGTCACAAAGAAATTGTGGCATCTAAGCCTACTTTTTTGTACAGGACAAGAAACAGAGGTAAAAAATAACAGGCAGGCTTGATTGATCTTAATAGATCAGATGTTGCACTATCTGTGGCACAGTTTGCTGTTCACATTTCTGATCTAAAATTGCTATTCGTCCATGGCTTAATGAACTTATTCAAAAAATATAAGGTAGTTTTCCTTACAAATGTGATCCCTATCCTAGAATTTTCGATGACTAAGAACTAAAACAGATGGGAGCAGAGCACAGTGGGTGATTTGCCTGCACAGAGATGCTCATGAGGAGGTCATAAATCAGTGGTTCTCAGCAAGGGTGATTTTGCCTCCAGGTATACATGACAACATCTGGAGATGTTTTGATTGTCAGCCTGGGGAGGAGGTGCTACTGGCATCTAGTGGGTAGAGGCCAAGGATGCTGCTAAACATCCTACAGTGCATGGGACAGCCCCTCAACAAAGGATTATCTGGTCTGAAATGGCAATAGCATTGAGGTTAAAAAACAGTGTCATAAATATGTGCAGAAGATACTGTATGGACTGATTGATAAATCAGCTACGTTAGGAATAAACCCAAGATGGTGCCTACATTTGTGGCTTCTGTCTCTGGGACTTGTAGTTTTTTTTTTTTTTTTTTTCCAGATTTCTATTTTTAAATCATTTTAGGCTTACAGACTGGGCAATTGTCATCTCCATCTGTTTTGTTAGCACTTGGTACATGGGAGGCTTTGTTAACTGTTGAGTGAAGAAAAAGAGAATGAGCAAAGAGATGCAGGAGGAACAGATCCAGTTAGGTTTCACTTCCACATAAACTCTGTGAGAAACACTTAGGCAGAGGGAAGGTTTGGGGATAAGCTTCTTGGTTTTCTAGAAACATCTGGCAGGTCACCCCCCTGCACCTGCCTGTGCCTGTGCTTCTGCTTGGCTAAGGTTGTGCTTGTGGAATTGGTGTCAGGGAGAACATCTTCTGCTTTGGCCACTGATGAGCTTTGGGTCTTGAAAGAGATCATTTCACACCCTGCACCTGACCCTGGCCCCTGAGGGTGACCAGGACGATGCTATAGGCCATTACCTATTAAGTGTGTGTGTGTGTGTGTGTGTGTGTATTCTGATTAAAACATAGACACCTGAAGAGTGAAAGTCTTACCATAATCCTGATGATAAATTTTAAATATCTATATTAGCATATAATTATTAAAGATAAAAGTGGAATTATAGTTTTATGGTATATTATACTATCTTACAGTATGTTTTTACCATACTATAATGTGGACATTCTTTATTTTAGTACGATGGGTAAATCATTTCAAGTTGTCTGAAAAATAAGGATGATAGTATCCACCCACCTATTCCAGAAGCATTAAAGAGACTCAAATATAAATTAAGATTTGTAAAGTGTGTTGAGTTTCTTGGATGAAAACACCATGATGTTATGGTACCATGTTGTATTTTTAATTGATTGTAACAATTTTGAACGATTCTATTATTAGTTTCTTCTGAGATGTTATTGAAATATTTTTAAAAACATTCTGAGTCCTCAGAGAGAAACCATTCATTATGGCTACCTTAATGTAGTGTGTGTAATACTCTTAGATTTCAGCTGCCTTTTTGTGTTCCCCACAGGCAAATACGTGTATCAGCCGATGACCCCTGTGGAACAGCTTCCGAGCACTGAGATTCCCGCAAGGCCTCGGGAACCCACAAACACCATTCAGATCTCAGTCTCCCTCACTGAACACTTTTTGAAATTCGCATCTGTCTTCCAGCCTCCCCTCCCCCCTGATTCACCAAGGTACTGTATGATCTCAGACCTCTTTATTGACAACTATCAGGTTAAATGTATTAATGGGAAGATGTGTTATGTGCAGAAGCAGCCGGTGCCACATTCCCACAAAATTAGCCCCGAGGAGGTCTCTGCACACGATGCCTTAATATCAAAAGAGAGCAATATGCCAAAAACAGACCACTGCTCTTCTCCCTCAAGTTCTGAGGACTCTGGAATCAATGCAGTCGGGGCTCACTATGTGGAGTCGTGCGATGAGGACACAGAAGAAGGAGCAGAACTGAGTTCAGAGGAAGATTACAGTCCAGAGAGCAGCTGGGAGCCAGACGAGTGCACCCTTCTCTCCCCTTCGCAGTCTGATCTGGAAGTGATCGAAACAATAGAAACCACCGTGTGAGCGTCCAGGCAGGAAGCCACGTCCTCTGATCCATGCTGAGCTTTTGAACTTCTGTCTGATGGATCTTTTTTCCAGTGCAGTCGATGTTTTCTACCCCTAACAACCATATACCAGTTCAGTGGGCTGCTGATTTAGCTTCACTTTTAAATTAGTCTTATAATTAAGACATTTTTTTCTTATAAATGGTTTTCTTTTGTATCTTGACTTCCTTTTTATGTAGCATCTGGTGTCATGAATTGTGACCCAGCCTTAATTTCACTGGGAACTTTGAAAGCAGTGATGTGATGAAGTGATGATCACAGAGCATCACGGATCAGGTTGAGGAGCTGCCCGGAGTGAAGGAGACACTATTTTATAGCGAGCCAGTTCTTCGCAGAACAACTCTTTGGCGTTCCTTTTGGCGTGCTGATGAGCACCCCTACCCTGCTAGTCCCGTGTGGAAAGTGGTTCACGTGACCCCTCAAGGTGTGCACTGGTTGATGCCATTCTGTCCCTTTCCCCGTCTCCCCACCGCCTGCGCTGGGGCTGGGCCAGTGCTGTCCTGGCTTACTTCTGGGAGGTTACTGGAGGCCAGCTCAGTCCCTAGTTATGGCCAGTGTCTGCACATCCCTCCGTTATCTGGGGCTGAGCTAGACCTCACTTCAGAAGAGATTCCACCTTCTGTTTCAGGCTCAGTCCAGCTTTAGCTGAGTGCCTACGCTCTTCAGGGATACAGAGTGAATAAGGCCTGACTCCCAGCAGGAAGGGACCACAGTCCAGTAGGCGAGGTAACACATGCAGGTGATGGGACCCAGAGTGCCCTGGGAACCCGGGGGAGGGAGAGATGTACTTGGCCTGGGCTAGCTGGGGATGTTGTACCATTTGAACTGGCCTCTTGGGTGGGTTCCCCAACATATCCCTGCTTTTTAAGATTGTTCTTCAAATCTGGGGGAAACTTTTAGGAGTTATATAGGTATTATATTTAGGAGGCAGCCACATCTGATGTCTTAAGAAAAAAAGTCAGTCATAGTTTTAGTTAGCATGGAAGTGCTAAAGACAGCAGTCCTTTAGGGATTAGGAATGAATCTAATAGGTTTGATTAATTCTGCTTCATTTGGTTGTATGAAGCATTAGGATGGCTTAGGTGAGAACTGGATTAGAATTCAGTATGATGCATGGATTTTTTATGCCAATGCAAAAGCAGTTGAAATAGTTCGCTAAGTCAGGAGAAAATATTTTGTGTAATATTCATTCACTTTACAACAGTAATATTCATGGGCTGTTGTAAATATTCTCTTTTCCTGCACACGTAAAATAGTAAATGATTCTTTCTTATTTAGCTCTCTTCAGAATTCTGCTCCTAATCTCCATTAGTAACTGGTGTTCTCGTGTGAGTCGGTTACCTGCTGTTTCTCCAAATATACCGTCTGTGAGGCATAGTTAAGAATCCAGGAAATTTAAAATATGGTCCACATGAAACCAGAACTGTCAAAGTTGGAGCTAGAGAAATACTTCCTACACCCTGACTATCCATGAGTGCACGCTCATGGCATCATCTCATGACATATCTTCTGTGTCACATTAGTTTGTATTTTAAGAAATAAGAAGAGGCCTGTTGTGTCCTTCCCTGAAGCCTCCACTTGGCATCTTTCAAAAATCACTCCAGGCAGAACCTGCTTTCCTAGTTGTATGTGTAGTTCATGTGACTGGCTAGAAGAGTTTGTTAGATTTAGGTGCCCCAAGCAGCCATAGGGTTTAGAAAGCAGAGTGTGCATATTCCTTTGAAAGCAGTGTTTGTTAACACTTTCTGTGCTAGATGAGAGTGCAGCCAGCATAAAGTTCCCACTTATTGAAATGTAAAGACTTAACAAGTCAAACCAAGAAGGTGGTGAGCAGAGCTCCAGGTACAGCGGGGCCCAGAAGAGGGTGGCAGAGGAGGTGTACGGAGAGGGGCTTAGGGACAGACAGCTGATGAGCCCTGTGCTGGGCTCTCAGCACCACCCAGGATTGAGTGGCCAGCTGCAGCCAGGGCGACTCACGCCAGGGTCCTGTCTTCATCTAACTCTGGGTGAACTTGTTGCAACCCCGGGCAGGAGCACGAGGCGCTCTTTCTCTGTACCATTCCTATCAGTTCTTTTCTCCATCCGTTAATCTAATTGGAGTCAACCACCAGGTTTCCAGAGCCGTGGGAATCCATGGGCACAGGGCCACGTTTCTGAGGCTGGCTGTGTCAGGGTTGGGCACTTTATATGGTAATATCTATGACTTTTGCCTATGTTCCTGTTTAAACTCCTGAACTGCCATTCAGATTAGCCATGATTTTAATGGAATTTTTGGATTTAAGACTAGTTGATAATCACTTTAAATATTTGCACAAACTCTTTATAATTAAAAACTAAGATTCACTTCTATCTATTTTATAGAACTGGAGATGTTCCACAGGATTCTAAATATCAGATGCTCCTGGATCTCAAAATAGCCTTTTCTAAATAAGCACAAACAAGAATTCTTTTTTTTTGTCCTAGCACTGTTAATAATTATCTGAAAATCATATATGATTGAACCAGAATTGTTTCTCTAATGCTTGCATTCCAAAAACAACTGATAAGGATATAAAAATACGTAGTTTCAACTTAAATTCTAGGCCTGTTCTGTTCTGTATTATATGAAATAATTTCTCTGTAATCCTGATACTGTATTGCTCATTTGTATAAGCATATTTATAGGCACTTTTAGAAAATGTTTAGACTGCAGTGTGTACTATAGACATAGAACACAGTCATGTTAAATAGGTTTTTGATTAGTACTTGTACATTGAGAGATATGAAAGCTTTATCATTTGGACCTTTGCTCACTTGGGGCAAAGAGTTGGGCTGTGTGGGTGGAAAAACTGCTTTCTTGGGCTTTTATCAAAAACTGGCACCATTCCCACTTTTTGAAAGTTGGCGTAAAAGCTGTTAGGTAGAACATACAAAATACGTGCTGTGTGGAATTTAGCTTTCTTATCTAACCAAGATTTCTTTTAGAATTTTCAAGTTTCACACGTGTTCATGACTTTTCTGAGAAATGACAAAGCAATTAAAATGCTTTTGTCATTATAACTGTTTGGTACATTAACAACTGGAGCTTTACAATCAAATCTAGGTATTTTCAAGATCTGAAATGCAGATTTGAGGAAAACCCTGAAGAAAAACAGATGCTTTCCTGGAAGGGGAAGACCTGTAGTTCAAGGTAATACAGTACAAAATGAAACAGAAAATAAAATCACCAAAACCAGAACAAAACCATGAAGTTGTTTTCCTGAGGTCCTTTTTGGATTTGATCTAGGATTTGATTTTATCTGAGTGGTGGTTTTATTTCTTAATCTCTACTTCCTGGCCTATTTGAAACATCAAAGTTCTTTTGGGGCAATCATAAACTCATTTTAAAGCAAATTTCTCTACTTGGGCAATAGGATGCAACCAGATAATTTAGAAAGCTGTCAAAATATCCAGATACTTTTGGTGGTATAAATACTTCTAGGCAAGAAAAAAAAAAAGCACAAGTTAAAATAATATTTATACAGTCAACACTTGATTATTCCATCTTGTTTGCAAAATTTTGTTGATATGTTTTGGATTTTTACATGCGGAAAACAAAGTTTCCGAGGGTTTTCTTTCCTGCTCCCCTCTCCAGAGGAGGTGTGAGCACATTAAGGAGGCCAGTTGTATTTTGGGCTTTTCTGTCATGTGCGATTGTGTCTCTTCCCCTTGAGGCGGGGAGAAAGAAGTGGGCGTTTCCGCACTTTATCAGTGCTGTCAATTCCAGGGATGTCAGTGCTTCTGACATCCAAACATAAGTACAGGGGCACTTCTCAAAACTAAGTTTGGAATTATTTATCTTTAGAAAATTTCTTATGTCACTGCTCCCTTTCGTTGTCATGGATAATTGAGAGTTGACTGTATTGGGAAAGGGTTGCGTTTCTGTTCGTGCTTTGAGTTCTTTCTGTTAAGGCTGAAGCAGTGCTCTCTTAATAGTCTGAACAAGTCTGAAAGCAAGTCATCAGTAGCAGTTTTAATGCTGAGCTTCCTTATCATCGTGTTCACGTGTAGTTTTAAGGCTGTTCGTACCCTGTAATACTCACTGTGTGATTTTTTAAAAACCTCTCTGTTTTAAAGTTTTAAGCACAATGTTGATCTGTGTGTAATTTCCTAAAATTATATTCTGTTTTCCTACAAACAGCTCAACTTTCCTCTCTGTATAATACTTTAGGAAAATACTACCTTGTAAAATAAATGTGATTTTTTTTCTTTTTTACCAGCACACATACGATATTTTGAATTTTGGAATATCCTCCCTCTCCACCCCACTTTAGAGAGGTTCTGTCTGATTTAAATAATAACACAGTGTGAGCCTAACGAAACAAAAACAAAAGCCCCCATTTGCAAAATGTGAAACATTTATATCCAGTGCTTGCTTTGTGCTAGGAAATCAGTGGTTTACATCATTATTCCATTTAAATTTTACAAATCCTTAGTGTGGGTAATTATTATTATGCATACTGTACACTCACAGTCACCACTGGTGATAATTCCCGGAACCCTTTATAATAAGAACTTTTTTGTTGGCTGCATTAGGTTTATACAAATAAAAATTACATTTCCCCACAAACGGTATTTATTTCACACAACGCTACAAGCTATGTGTTCGGTTCATACATTCCACGTGAGACAGTTCTGACTGCAAGTTGGATCCAGGGAGGCCGCTGCCCTGCTGAGCCTCGGGGGTGCAGTCACTAGGTCACCAAGGCTGAGGGTCCAAGCCTCAGCGTGGCAGGTCCAGGAGCTTAATTTTTATATTCACACCAAGAAAAGAACAGCTTTGGGGTTGGCTTTTATTGAATAACCTCATGGGGAGTGCTAAACAAATTTGCTTATCAGTAATAGAAATAATACCATTGTTTATATTAATAATGATAGCTCAACAGCTGCCTTCCTGCTTTCTCTGAGTATCCCTCACAGCAGCCCTCTGAAGGAGTCTTCAGCATCCTCACTTCACAAATCAGGAAAAGGGCTCAAGAAAGAAAGCACTTTTGTTCACAGTGGCACAGGCTGTAAGTAAGCGGGAGTCATGTTTGAACTGTCACCTTGGCCGTGGAGCTCATACTCTTGGCCCTTTTCCTGCGCTGCATCCTCCTGTAGCCCTTCCCACCCTCAGGGGCCATGGAGGCTGAGCCAGGAGGCCGACAGTGAGTGGGGAGGAGAGCAGAGGGTGCCCCCTTCCTGTCCGTGACCAAGAAGATGCCCCCCTCACCCAGGCACCGCCAGGCTTCTCCCTCCCTCCCCGCTCTGTGCTCCACGTGGACCTCCCCGCAACACGTACACGCGCGTGCAC